GCTGGAACCGTTGTCCTCTGTTTGAAAGCCGCGCAAATCTCATTCAGTGAATGCTTTTCTTGCGGAGGTTCAAAACGGGTCCTTAATCCAGCTGAAAGACAGATAATATAAGACGTCTAATCGAATGCCAATGCGTGTACTGTTTTGCTAAATTACATACTAATTTATATTGACCGTTTTAAACTGACCTAAAGACAAAGTATTACCCAAAAAGGTTGAGACGTCTTGTACGACACTAGCCTTGTAAAGATGCAATTTTTGAAAGAAGACTTGTAAAAAATAAAACGGCCATTCTTCTCAGTTTACATCAAAGTATTAAGTGTATCCTCTCAGAAGTTTCTGTCCCGATTCCACGACCAATGAACAACAAGATTTTCCTGTTAAGTTTGCCACACTATGTAAAGATAACCTAGACCAACTGAAAGGTTATAATATGGCAAAACGGCACAGTGGAAATTTTTGCCAGACCTTGCCAATGTCAACTACTCACAGACGACTCACTTCAGGGCCCTAGCTATATCAGCCCTGGCCCTGAGGAGGACTAGCTCATTTGGTTTAGCTGACTTCAAGTGACGTGTGGTACGTACATTTCTCTTGAGCGAGGTTTCTGAATTGAAAAATGTATGGGTCAACGGTTTCTCTAAATTTTGTATTGTGTGGTTGTCTGTGTTCAAAATCTTTATTTTCCTTCATATCTCGTTCGTTGAAAGTTACATGTAATAAGCATTATTGTGAGCGCTAAAAGCCTCTAAAATGGCGAACAGGTGGCCCTTAAGGGAAAATTGCAGAGCTGATAGCTGGAACGCAAAGGACCGCTCTCTTCACCATATTCACCCATGCAATCACGTTCATGCAATCACTCCCACTTACATAGCCAATAGCAAATGCTATCTGAATTCACCCCCGGCGTCAGCTTGAAGTCAGTGTAGTGAAACATTTTCAATGTGCTACTTCACCACTCAAAAAACCTGCCCGTTATTTCTTTTAGTGCACCATCATTAAGCCCCGATATTGTAGATGTTTAGGTGCCAACTTAACAAAGCAATTTCAGGTAACTTTCCTACCAACATTAGACGAGTAACACCTAGTTATCGGACGCGTACGCCTAATTTATCGCGCTACCGGTCCCGGGACCTTCGAAAATCAACGAGAATAGAACCTGTTTTAAGTTAGTTTACTCATTACTACTGAAAGATATCCAGTGAAATGTTAGGACAATCCGTTATATATTTTGCTTTAGGTTGGCAAATGCGTTCAGTCATACCTCATGCATTTATTCGTGATTGTTCCATTGTCAGCTATTGCAAGTGCTCCATGAGCCCAGCACAAGTGCAGCCAAAACACTGACTTCAAAATAGGTAAACTGACCGGCTGCGACATCATCGTCGAATTTGCTTAGAGCAAAGAGGCATCTTCGAAAATTCAAAATGCAGGATACGGTTAATAAGTTGCGGTCGCAAAGTATCATTCGTATCTTTATGATTGAAATTCGTAGAAATCTTGGCAAATTACGCTCAACAGTGCTCAAGTTGGTGTTCTTGCAGTGGTCTCCAATTCCCCTCAGGGCCTATATCGGAATTAAAGAAATATGAGAACTCTCCATGCAAAATTATGTTCACGCCACCCGTAAATAGCGCGTGGAAGAATGTAAGCTCGGTTCTTTTTAGATTTTCCAACTTTTATTCAAAGAAAAGCTGCTTGATACAAACAGCAGTTCAAATGCTAAATTCACAGGCTTAATAAAGTACAAAACTGGCGTAAAAGCAAGAAAAATGAACAGGTAACAAGGAAAATTGGCACTCAATATTGATTCTCAATAACCTCAATGCATTATGTCATGATCAGTTTTCTTCATAAAATTAAAAACATCAGCTGTTTGTTTATAAGACTCTTCTATATTATCCGATCCTTATTCAAGGCTCTTTCGACTGAGCCCCTTACTTTCAAACCAATTTTTTTTTTCAGGTGCATCCTGACCTTATTTTAACCGCTTTTAACAACCTGTTACCGACAAAGAATTCTTCATATCAAAATTAGGTTACGGTAAATGGATATTTTTTTTTAGTTTTTCATAAAACATGCAACCAAGAACGTCACATTTCTCGTTGACCGTACGCATGAAAATGGATGGACAGAGTCCTAATCCTGTTAGAAAGGAAAAAAAATTATAGGTTTGGTCTGAAAGAAAATATACTGTGTCAGTCTTGTACAAAAATAATAAATTGAATTAAGACAAAGCACGGGAGAAAGAGCTCCTATTGGATAATGTTGAAATAAACTTGCCTCTGGTATTATATTCTGCTATTTTGTCTACGTCTTGATTAATAATGAAAGTTATCTAATGGCAATAACAGGTGTAGATATCTATTACGGCTGGTGCCTTTTTGAAAAAAACGATATTGATACGGGACCTCGGCGGCTACCTGTCCAGCGACATTATTTTGGCTATTCTCCTACGTCCACGTGCCACAAAAGAGCCACTTGCCCGTGCCACACTTTGCAATCAATCTGCTCTGCTCGAGGCGCGCGCCAGCTAGCGGGGCACGTTCACCAGTTTATCTTTTGGCCTGGTTTGCACTGATGCAGTTAACGGCTCTTCTGACACACTGATTGTATTGAGGTAACGCGATAAATCGATGACAACAGTTAAATCAGTACAGTGTAAGTTTGTTACGGTAATTCGTAGCGAGAGCGCGTTCTTTAGGGATGTTAGCAACAGCATCTGTCGATAAGGCTTAATTGTATAGGTTATTCATGGCTACTGAACAGTGGAGAATTAATTAATAACTTTACTCAGAGACATAAAGTAAACTGACATTGTTCCAAGTAGGACACACTTCTTATTCTGGCGCAGAACAGTTGACCTCTCTCGCTTTAGGCGGTAAGTTTAAGTCACATGGTTTTTTTTAGATAACTTGACCCAGTAGACTTGACCTCCTTTACATTAGTCCGCACGCGTCATGCCCCCAGGTAGAAGTCGCGTCGGTCGGTAATGTCCTCTACGCGGCCCTATCCTGGTACTCACAAAGCCAATTAAGCCGAGCGGCTGCGGTTTAATCCGAGTTTTGACTGAGTAGCGGCAGCAACACAGATAGGATTATAAACTCCAGTAGCGTATATAAATGTGGAGATGGCTAAGATTGATAGCAAACCTGGCTATGAATCCATGGTCTAAAAAAAGCAGTTAATAGCCTCTTACCGTTTATTTTACACAATAAACTGTTAAAAAAAACCAAAAAAAAACAGAACCTGTGCACAGGTTCGAAATCAGAGAGAAGAGCATGTCAAAAAACTCACGTTTAATTTCGCCATTTATCCGGTACGTTTACCCGCATATTCTCATTTGTCGAATTAAATAACTCTTTCAAGCAGGTCAACTTATTACGAATTCATCAGCAAATAGCGAGAATCTTAAAGGAATATAAGCTATATTAATTTTCGCGCCGCTTAAATGACGTCACCACGTTATTTTTCCCTTGGAAAATCGCATTATCTACATTTACCAATATCGTAGCTTTTGTAAATGTTAAAGGTCTTGTATTCGTTTCCTCTCGTATGAACATCTTTCTTCTCTGATGATTATTACTTTTTTAATCTCTTCTCCGCGCGCATATTTGCTATCGAGACGGGGGACATATTTACGAAACCTTCCATTTTGCGAATAAAATAAATTCATTATTTTATAAATTACAATGCTAAATAGATAGGGCATTTGATCCTGAAACCCACAGGCTACAATCAACGTATTTAACACCTTTCAAAGACCATGCTTTGTGCACATGGCGATTCGCCATTGGCGCAGTGTTTAATACAATACAACCGATCTTCTCCGGCCCGGTTTTTTTTGAAGCCCAAATATCGTAACAGGTAATGGCCCGATTTGATTTAAAGATATATTCTCAGTCCTTTTGTAAATAATGCCACACCTGGCCTGTTTTTAATTTGCGGCGAGAATTGATATAAAAAAATTTATATATATAAAGCCGCGCGCATGTACCGCTTGACAAATTAATTTTGATCTTTCTTTTTAGTCATCGAATTATGACCGAGATGTTCGGCTCGAAAGATGACTTCGGTGGCCCGAAATATTCAGCCGCCGATAGTTACATTGGAATTCTGTCAGCCTATCGCGGACGGATTCATCACACGAAGCCTTCACGCAACGGCCCGGAGTCAACGGTGAGTTTACCGAGGGAGAGAGCCGCAATTTTATTTCACTGCGCCTATGTAAACACTATTGAATGCACACACGGTGTTGGTATTGTATGGCGATTAGAGATGTCAAATTGTGCCATTTTATACCTCCAAGTTCCTCTTTGTCATGTGCTACTCGCGCACGGCCCGACCGGAGCTAGCGTGGTGGTGGACCGTGGAAGAGTTCAGACCGATTCCATTTGTCGGTTCATTGTAACTTTTATTTTTGAAAGTTTTTAACTGGTGTAAGCAGGTTCAACTGTTATCATATTAAATGGCCTCCACTGAGATCATCGAAGGAAGTTGCTCTGCTGCTAAAGTATTTCTCAAAGCCGATTTCTGAGCTGCATCCGATATTTTTTTTAAAAAAAAAGTGGGGAGAATTAAGGCAAACTGCCTGTGATTAATAAAAAGCTGCGATCATTAGGAAAATGTTGGCCATCGCTATTAAGTTTGCTTATCCAAGTTGCGTCAGTAAGGAGCTCATCAAACTAAATTGTTTTGACGGCGCAAATTGAAATGTATCTTATATGGATTTTACGCCGCGGAGCATGCCATGGAAAGTTATCAATCTGATTGGACGCAAGTTGAGGTAAAATACACCCTAATATTTGGCATTTCCTTTCCCTGTGGCTTTTTTAATATCAGTTTTAGGCTGACAAACATAAGTGCTTCCGATGTTTACAAACGAAAATCATACTTTTTTATTTTTCAAAATTGTTGCATTTAATATGTACATTTCCCTGGTAACAATAAATTCGCTGATCGCAATGTAACGCCGAAAATGTCAAAACCTTTACAAATCCGACTCTTTTGTTAGCGTATTGACAAATATAAAGGGTTATATAGATTCGAGCATTGAAAAGATCTTGACTAATCTTCATAGCCGAGAGATTAACATTTTTGTTGCTGTTTATCTGACAGGAAAAAACAAGACAAATAAAAGATCGTTTCACCAAAATAGATACAAGGTCTAGCTTTGTATTCTAATTGGAGCATTCTGGCGTAACAAGTATTAATAGGAAAGAAGTTTTCTTATCGCACGGGTGGAAGCTTTCATTATTATTAGCGCGTGAAAACAGTCACAGATAAGGAAAGAGAGATATTACTTGATTAATTATCGCCAAGCTCTTGCATTTAAAATTCGCAGCTGCGTTCAATAATTCTATTCTTGTTTGACGATCGAAAAAAAATATCACACAGTTACGCTTTTTGAATTAATCGAACCTTTGAGCTTGTGAAGAATGGAGAAGTAAAATATGTTTTCATTGAAAAAAATCAATGTTTCGAAGAACGCGAAAATTGGAGAGACAAATTCGACTTTTTAAATATCAAAGCTGCTCAAAACATGAAAACAGAGATGATTAATTTTTCTGTTTCTTTTATTAAGGGTAAAAAGCTGAAGAATAATAATACGGTAAGAACAACAACAATTTCTTGATTTCAGGTAAAAATAAAACGAGATCCAAGCGAGACAAACCTTTTCAATTTCTTTTGTTGACAATTTTTGAATGCATAACAAATAAAAATGCTCGGGGATGGCTGATTGAAAGACGTTCCTTTATTAGTTTGGGAAAGAATTAATTGTAATCTCCAGAAAAACATTAATAAATGCGATGATTAATTCCACTGGCGCGTCGAGTTCGAGTCACGTGGTCTTACTTAATTGGTGATAATTAATTACAATAAGAAATCGAATCTCTTTGGCGGGTAGTGCGCATGTCGTAATTGTTGATTTCAATGGAATGCCCCATCAAAGATGTGTCATTCGATGTTTGAACTCCAACTGGTCGAGTTATGTCTTCGCAAATTTTGTCGGCCAATACGTATCACTTCCAGGAAATAGGCTTTTTATGAAACCCCCGTGATTATTAAAATTAAATTTCTGTAGAGCGGAACGGTGGAGCAATGGAAAAGGGGTCATCTCAACCACAACAGCAGCAGCGTAGCGTTGTAAGTCCGTGTTTTGTCGTCGGCTGATTTGCATTTTCATTTGATAGCTAATCTATTGATTAATTAAAATGGAAAGTGTTTATGATGTCGTAGCCCGAGGTCGCGTTTCTCTCATTCATCTCTTCCTGTGTTTGTAAAGTTGTAAAATGCTCTTGCAGTCGGCCGCCGATCGAGATGGACTGCGGACGGACCGTGAGAGCAGGCGGGAACCATCATCGCCGCACACATTCAAGCAGCATCGCTCGTCGCTGTCGAGCGGTTCCGTGGAGAGCCGGATGGCGGAACTTGATGATATTCAACGGTCGATGGAAGTAGAGGAAACGGAGGAGGAAAGCTTTGAAGAGGACAGGTTCAAGTCGAGAGAACATTACGATACGGACTCTGATAGTGTTTCTAGTGGACGTGAGGCCGCACCGTATCAACAAGGAGCTCGCGTGCAGAATCAACAGCCCCCTTCCCCGGTGGAAACTTACATCAACAACAGTGTCAGCGGGATAGACAGAATTCCTACTCACGAATGGACGTTCGAGGAGCAATTCAAGCAAGTAAGTGCTGCATTTACCTTTCTAAACCCTTCAAGTGTTTGATTTTTCAAGCAGAAATGCTAAGCCCAAAGCATTTTTTACATCTTGAGGACCGTCATTAATCAACTTTGCTTCGTAAAAAAGTGACACATCTCAAGCGAATATTAATAATTATTGTTCCAAACAAATTCAGCTTTCGCGGCTTTAATCGATTTATTCATTCCCGTGCTGTATTGAACTGAATTCCTTCGTTCAATGGCGCTCCGAGTTCCAATAAAGCTTATATTTTTAGCGTCTTTGTCGTTCGACGCTAATCTCTCTTTCTAAATCGCTCTTTAATAGAAACTGAGTTATGAGTAGCGGTGCATATTTTGCCGGCGTATTTGACACGACTATTTTGTTTCTTTGTGACATTTTGACAACGATCGTTTTTAATTTTCTTCATTTCGGAGGCCGCTCCCAAGCGCGATCTTTGCCGTTCTTGGTGAAGAAAATAATCTGGGAACTTTGAATAAATTGTAAATTGCGATTGTAGGATTATAAGGGTGTGTAGAAGTTATGATACTGGCCTTGATAAAACGGTGATTTGGGAGTTTGCCGCGCGAATATCGGCTTTATTGAATTAGTGGGTCATAGAATGTGTAGTTTTAATTAACCTATGATACAAATTTGCATACCGGGCTTATCACCTGGGCCAAATGAAATATCGTATTTGTCATAAGAAATCGAGACCAGGGGGAAATTCAGTCAAAGATGGAAAAGTCAATTATTAAATGAGAAGTTTAGTTATAACGAAGAGTAAACGGTGACATAAGTGAATTTTTTGCTTGACTTCTGGCCAAGGGTTATGCAATGACTTGTTATTATCTGTAACCTACGAAGATACATATGAGCTACTCAACAATACTGCCTTCAATTAATATTTAATAACAACCCAGAGTTAATATAGGCCTTTGGCAATTGGGAAGTAAGATTACAGCTCTTTTTGGGTGGCAGGTTGACCTGCCACCTGTCACTCATACAGCCTGTCATTTTAAGCTCTAATGTAGTTTTTGGCGCATTGTGATTGGCTAGTAGACTTGAGATATTGTGCAGTATTTACCAGGTTTGAAAAACCACATATGACCTTTGCTGACTCCTTTAAACATTCTATTTGGAGACAGAAGTCTAGCAAGCTGGCTATTCACTGACCAGCATGGCATAAATTATATTGCCAGTTATTAAACTTGGTTTCTATGAACAGCCCAGGATATTTACCCCACTTTGGTAGATAATTGTTAAGTGTTGCCAGATGCAACATCCTGTGTCTTTTCATGGACAAACAAGCCCCACATTCAATTCTACTTTGTAATTAAAAGTCTAAAGTTGCATAGAGAGGAAGAAGTCTTCTGTTGGATTTACTGGAGGTGATACCCCCGCTGTTTTTCCTTTTTTGTTAAATGATTGTAATTTAGCATCCAGTGATATTTGAGATACACACGTATGCTCACATTATATTTTTTTATTTCAACATAATCCTTGGCTCCATTTAATTAAGCCTTTAATCTTCTTACATATTTGTAACATATTCGTCGTAGCTTCCCTTTTAATAAAAGCATTGTCTTCAAATCTGAGTAAAATTGTTACTTTTTTTCTGTTGTTACATATGTAAGAAACTTAAGGCAACCATGCTTTGTGAAAAAAACAAAGTCAGAAGAAAAGATGGTTATATTCCAATTATTAACATAGTTAATTTTTTTGGAAATTTATTGACATTACCCAAAAGTTCTAGAAATTTATTTTTGAATCCTGTATCCTTCATCCATATGAATTAATGATTCTTGTGGGAAAAAAAAACTGGATGAGTGTAGAGTTCTCAAAACTTATTAAGGTGTTATTGAAGGCTGAAGTTTGAGTAGGATGTGCTCAGTTTTTTTAATGCAGCTTTTTGTTTGGGTTAAACTTATTCTTGCGTTTTCCACTCTTGTTTATCAAATGTACTTTAAATCTATTAAATCTAGCTATGAGTTGTTATTATTACTATAGCGTATGTTGTCTTTGTAAAGATATATTTCTACATGTAGCTGGAAATCATTCATATATTTTTCATCCATCTTGCATATTTAATTTAGTTGAGACTACAAAAAAAAAATCAGCTTTTAATTACAGCCTATTCAGTATGGCATATGTCAAGTACAGCAGAGTTGCTCCCAAATTATTTGACATACAAAAGCAGAATTTGATAGGTAGCTTTTATGTGTGAATGTTTGCTAATATGTGTTAGAAAAAGGCAAATGATCTAAACACGCAATAACTACATGTAAACAATATCACAGTTCATCTTCGACAAGATCAGAAAATGGTGTTATAAGGTTTTCACTGAGGAATCTGTTACTAATAAAAACAAAACAAGTGGTGCCTAAATTGAATATGTCTTTTAATCCACATACAAAATGCTAAAATTCCAGTGCAGATTACTTTGATATCAGTTTATTGAACCGATATATTATTTTAACTTCATGTTTTTATCCTTAGGTTTAGCTATGCATTAATCCCTTGAGGCATAGTTATATTAAACTGTTGTTCTTCTAGAAAAAAAAAAATGGCGGTAAGCTGGCTAAAAATACAATCAATTTATACCAAACCCAATTTAACAATCAATATCATGTTAGGAATGCTAAGAACTCCAGAATCTTGATTAAGATAATGATACTTATGTCAAGAAAATGTTGGTTTGTCATTGACATTCAGTTCTGTCCTAATTTTAACTTGAGTAATTTTTGTATGATTTTTCTGGTAGTCCTTGTTCCAAGTCCTTTAGGCCAAGAACATCAAGGATTGGACTCAATGGAACACGTTCATTCATTGAAGTCATGTTTCTGTTGTATGTGGTCTTTTATACTTTCACAGAGATTGGTGTGATAACAAAGAATACCCAGTAATATATCTGTGCTTGCAAACCACAAGTATATAATATATGGATTTCTATTTTGAACTGTTTAACTCAATATCATAAATTGCAGCAAATGAGGATGATATAAGTTTAATATTGTAAGAAACTACCGATGATAAAAAAAAATCTCAGTTTGTTTCACAGCAGAAAGAAACTAGGTAAGGTTTTCAATGCGTTAAAAAGATTATTAATAATTTTTGGCATACTTGAAAACAATTCTTTAAGTGGTGTAAGTCAAACAATTTCATCAACTTTCAAAATGATTATGTGTTGTGATGTTCATCTCTTCAATCACAAATTGCTTATATAAATTTAGTTGGAAAAATATTTGTGTCTTATGAAAGATCACTTGATACAAAATTTTGTTCATTTTTGTGCTGACAGCCAGACAAATTGAACAAATTAGCACTCAAATTAGCAGACATGCATATCTTTATAAGGAGCAGTTAAAAATATCCGCCAGTTCATTAGGATTTTTGGCAAGACAAATTTACAGCCTACTTCAAGTTATTTCATGCTACTTCACTAGAGTTTGCTGCATACTTCCTTTGGAACTGATAACAATCTCGTAGGAAATTAATTGTATCACCCACATACGTGTTAGAATATTTTTGCCATCTTATTTACGGCTTATAAAAAGCTGTGATTTGAGTGAAGGGCATCACATATATTTTTAAATCCAATATCATCATATTTGGCTTTCAGTTTCTGTTGTGGAAGTCAAAAAGTTTTAACTCTGAGAAAGAGTGACTGTTTTTCTGTACAGTGTATTTAAAGAATTAAGAACATGCATGCAAGTATATACATTACAAGTACATTTATATGTATGTTTGTCTTATTAGCCATTTGACTACACTTGTCTGTTTAGTGATACGTCCAAGACATTTGGGTCATTAGAGGGATTCTCTGAATAACTATGTTTTGAATCTGACCAATGTTGTGATTAACTGAACATCAAAGGAAGTCTTTCTGTGGTAGACTGTAATTACTTGCCTTGGAAGACCCATTCTTTAAATTAATGGTGTGATCACAAATAACATACCTGTAGTCAAGTTACCAGTCAATGTTCCATCTAGGCAAAATAGTCGTGTTTTCATAGATGCCGATCAAAGGAAAACCTTGAGTCCCCTTCAAACTATGATAACCTTCAAAGCTAAGGAACCAAACAGATAAAATGAATAATGAGATTAATTTACCGTAGAGGATTAAGTCAGAACTTAAGAAAACACAATATTTCAAATCAAATTAGTCTAACTTGAATTGTAGAGATAACCTGTTTGGATACTAAAACATGTACATGCTTGAGTTAACCATGCATGTTTTCAAGTTTTATCACAATCAGACTGAATCACTCGAGACGATAAATTAAAGGGTGCAATCAAAATAGTGCACAGTTTTCCAATTTTCTTCCAAATGTTTACAGACCTGCCAACCCCTGAGCATAGGAAATATGACTTGACATCACTAAAAATACAAATTTCATACTAAGTCTTTGCTAAAAAGCATGAGATAAAGAGCCTTCCTCGTGAGATTTATGAGAAAAGATTAAAAATCCTGAGTCACTTAAAAAGTGTGTGATTTGGCTGGTCTGAATTTATTTTTGTTAAATATTCCTTGCTCACCAGCAACTTGTTTTATTCACTGACAGACTTAAAGTTCATGTATCTGTTTGCAAAGATCTTTGAAATTTGATCTAATTTTATGTCATCAGCAAAAATATTGCTAACATACTTATCACCCCTGAGTGCCTTAGTGGATGTCATTAATAACTCGGCTTGGATTTCAACACAGGCCAAGTTGACTTACAGTGAACCAAAAACCAACCATAACATTAGTTTATTTTCATTATAATGCCGAACTGTCAATATCACTATGTAGTGTATGTGAGAGAAAGAAAAAAAATGCATTTCACAGCAGGGAAGGAGATTTTGTTACAGAGTAGGTACCCAAAGTACTGATGATACAAAACCATGCATCCTGTACAGATACGGCGTATGCACACTGTAGATTTGTCAGACATTCAAAAATTATATGTTTCACTATTTGCAAAGTTGTTTGAAACTTTCCCATAGTTATGACTGACCCTCAA